AAAGGTACGTTGGCAGTTCCGGCACCCTTTCGTGTTTTCATCATAACTCCTCCGTATGAACTCCGATTGTGATGATTTAACATGTTCTGGAAAGAAAACTTGATTTTCTACAAGTTTTGTGAAATGGTACTTTTACAGATTCGGACCGTATCACCTCCGAAAATGGGCTGGAACATAGACGTTGTGTTCTGTCCGAAAATGGCATTCTCCTCCTATTTGATTTCGTAACTTCTTGGATTTTGAGTAGAATATCTTCTTCTCCATCTCGAAAATACAACTAAAAGTTTGTCTTAAGATTGTTATATGTGGGTGTGTGTATTTCGAAATGGGAAGAAACAAAATTTGGACAGAAGTTTGACAAGAAAAATGTAGTCGAGGCAAGAACTCGGTTCTTTCTCCTTAAGACAAACTTGCCCCGTGCAGTACTCTCGGTTTACGGCAATCGTCTCCCAAGATACAACGACTATTTCAGTTCCAACAAAGTAGCACACCAATTATTGGAACACGGCGAACGAAACGACGTTTAGGACTTTATGAGACACGAAGAAAAGGACTTGGTAATGCAACAATATGCAATGAGATGCTATGGTGAGAAGTGAATTCAATTAATGTATTGAATTCCATGTGTATAATGAACTAATCAAATGGTGGATTTTGGAATCTATTTATAGATTTTCAAAGGTTATGACCACAAGTCACAACTCTTAGGAAACTAATTTCATGAAAAGGTATCACACCTTTTCCCATTAATCACATACCTATTCAATTTAATAGGTGCTTAAACACCTCCATCTTTTTCAATGGTGGCATTTCACTTTATTATTTTCCACACTTAAATATTTTAAATGATCCATTAATTTATCATTCATCAAAAATTAATTTTGAGAATTTAAATTAAACCACTTAAATATTCAACAAAATTTGAGTCAAATACTCAAAATTTCCAACAATATATATATATATATATATATATATATATACACACACATATTTAATCCTTAAGGAATTCACCTCATTTGCTCCCTTTTCTCCCTCTGCTCCCTTCTTCCCAACAAGCCGTAAGTTTTTTTTCTCTCTTTTTTTTTGTTAATTATTGTTTATTTGTAGTTTGCTAATTTATATTTTAATTAATGTAGGTAATTTTAATTAATTTCAGCAGGGTACTTATTGAGGTAAAACTTTCACTCTTTCAATTATTATAGTTAAATAGGATTTTAATTATTAATATAATTTTGTTAAATTTTTATTAATGGTGGATTAATGGTATTTTTATCTAGTAACTTATTAATTATTTGGAGATAAATTATTTCTTGTATTGGTAAAATATATATATTTTTTTATGAAATTCAATTTTTTATTGTTGTTTTTACTTGTTATTTTTAGGTTAAACTTGAACTTGTGGTGGATTTAAGAAGGAATGTTTGATTGTGTTTAAATAATTTCTGAAATTTTAAATTTTTTTAATGGTTTAAAGATGATACGAGTAGAATAATTAGTAGGATAAATTAATTAATTAATAGTGAGTTAGTGGATAAATTGGTAGAATTAATTATGGCATTAGCCCCTCAAGTTTACATTAGTTTCACTTTTGATCCCACGTTTTAATAATTTAACATCTTTTCATGTTTTTTTTCTTGTTTTTAAATAATGGCTGAAATTTAAATTTTGTTGTATTCTGATTGTTATAATTAGGTGAAATGTAATTTGTGGTTGATTGAGAAGGGATTTACGTTGCTAGCAAATAATAATTATTTGGAGGTATTTATTTGTTATATTGTACAAATTTTATTTTTTTTATTGTTGAAAATTTAATTTTTTTTGTTTTATTGTTATAACTAGGTGGAAGTGTAATTTGTGGTGGTTTGAGAAGGGATTTTTGTAGCTAGCAAATAATAATAATTTGAAGGTAATTATTTGTTATATTGTACAAATATAGTACAACTTGGGGTTGGAGCTGTTATTTTTTGACTCTTTTTTAAATAATTGCCGAAATTTTTATTTTGATGGTTTTTTTTTAATTATTATAACTAGGTGGAAATCTAACTTGTGGTGAATTGAGAATTGATTGTGGGTGCTAGCAAATCTTCAATTATCTTTGAGGTAAATTAAATATTTTATTGGTTAATTAACGTCTTACTTGAATTACACAATTAAAGTGTTATATGAATGTGTCGAAAAATTACGAATTACACAATTTTTTAAGGATTTATAATATACAAATTAATAGTTTTCGAACTATCAAATTATAAAACGAATTAGAAAATATTAAATATTAATTGTTTGTTTTAACTGATTTATAATCTAATATTTAGTGTTTGTAGCTATAAAAAAATTAGAAAATATTAAATATTTGGAAATAAAAATAATAATCTCAAAATATCAAAATATAGGGTTTCAATGGCGACTCCGGGTAGGAATACTGTCAAAGTTTTCGTGTACATAGGAGGCCAGATCGTTCATGATGGATTGTCAGTGAATTATGATCTATCTCATCATACAGTCGTACGAGTTAAACGCGATATATCTTTCTCAGACTTCTTGGCCAAAATATACTCACGTTGCCGAATAGATAGAAATGAATTTGTGTTATCGGTGTCTAGCAAAATATCACGATGGTATCAAAATCAATGGAGCGAGATAGTTTCTAAAATAACAAGTGATGATGATTTAGAATTTATTTGCATCCGGATGAAGGAAACGATTCCATAGATGTTTATGTTGAGTCTCAACCTTTATACAATCCTTTGATGCCTTCACAATTCACTACATCAGAACCTCTTTACTCGCCTTCGAGACCTTCACAATTCACTATATCAGAACCTCTCTACCCCCCTTCGAGGCCTTCACAATTCACTACATCATAACCTCTCTACTCCCCTTCGAGGCCTTCACAACCTTTTGATTTGAATGAAACGTACATCAGCTTCATTGAGACTGGTGCACATATTCTTCGTATTTTTAGGATGATGTTGGATCAGATGCTCCCAGATCAGTTTATATGGATGCCATATGATCTGGATGTTCCGGAGTATCAGGTTGTAGCTGGTGATTCGGCAATCGCATGTTGTGGTATATGGGTATCGAGAGTCCCCCTGATATGCTACGCAATTGTAGAGATGCATCGACCAGACAGAGTAGTACGTCAGTTCGGGATGGTACAACCCATACCTGAACCTCCTGAAAATACTGAGACTGATTTCCGGATGCACGTCAATGCTAACCGTACAGGTGCTACCGACCGAGATTGGAGTCTTACACATGTTTCGCATGTTACCGCTTGGGATAATAGACTCAATTATATTATTGATTATCCATATGCCTGTGACAGTCAGACTACAGAAGATGGTTATTTTGAGTGGTATGAACTGCACACACGTCGTTTCATATCACCGATTACCCCATCTGATCGTACAGGATTTCAGGTTGGAGGTCAGATTTCAATGGATACAGTGGTACGTATTCAAATTTATTTATTATAAAATTTTGTGTATTATATAGTTTTTATTAATGTGTGTCTTCTAAAAATAAAATATTTCTTATTACTTATTTGAGATTCAGCATCTTCGATCGTTGGTTGTTTCTGTTGATGGCGGAGACACGCCCCGGGATTGCTATCGTTCGTATTTACCGACTCTCAGAACATGTCTTAATGTCTTAGAGTCTCGACACGGACCTTCGGATAGGCCTCAATCTGAGATGCCTTATACTCAGACTCACCCTCAGACTCAGACTCAGATACCACTGTCTCAAATGCCTCAGTCACAGACTCAGATGTACGCTGGCGAGGCAGGAACTTCTTCTCGTGCATATTATCCGGCATTCGATAATTATACAGATCCTAGATCATACGGGCATCCATCCGGTATGTTTAGTACCTTTGATTTTATTTTTAATACTATCTACAACTGTGAGTATAATTATAATCTCGTTGATGCAGATCCGTACACCCCATACCCCTACTTTAATCCGAATATGAATTCGGAAGACCCAGTTCATTTGGGGTCTACGCATCAGTTTTCGTCTACATCGCGACCGGTAGATCATCAGATGACACCTATTCCTTATTCTCAATCCGCAAATTCTTCGAGTGATAATGAAAATGATGAGGATGAACAAGTTGGTAGAGGGCACAGGACTAGAAGGCCCACGAGATGTGGCACCGGAGGTCACCGTCATTGGTGATATTATTATTGTAGTTTATGTTGCTTATTTATTAAAACTTTTTAGTATTTTAGTTATTCAATAAGAAACAAATTAAATAAACTAAAGGATTTAGAGACAAAAAATATTTCCCAATAATTAGGCATTTTATTTTTATTTAATAGAATATAAATTTAAATATATATATATATATATATATATATATATATATATATATATATATATATATATATATATATTTACTTAAAATAAATTAATTACAAGAGAGGAAATGGAAATTCTAGAAACCAACCACTAGTTGGTGTGGATGTGATTTTGCCTTATTTTAAGGGGTAATATAGTCTTTCAAGTTTATAGTTAATGGTGTTCATAGAAGCTACCTTAATCAAACTTCAAGGGGGTACTGTGGGTTCCTTCGACCCTACATCCGGTGAAAAACTCCGGGTAGGTCTTCTGCTGCCACGTGTTCTTTTTTTTATTTTTCTAAACTCCTAAAGGTAAACCCTAGCGGGAAATCTATTATAAAATACAAATAAGAGACACGTGGCAGCGGAAGACCCACCCAGTGTTTTTCACCAGGTATAGGGTCGAACAAATCGTTAATGTGCTTAATTTGATACCACAAGCAGGTCATGTGCCAAATGGTGAAACCACAATGGGGTTACGTGCTATTTATCCTAATTTATATTTTAAAGTGGGCCAAACTTGTTATAAATTAAGAGGCACGATTTTCTAAATGGGCCAATTTATGAAGCCCAATTTAAGCAGAAAATGATCTCTTTCTTGGTAAACAAGCTGAACATAAGAAACCACTTCTAAAACTCCAGAAATTAGAAGAAAGAAGTAAAAAAAAAAAAAAATTTAATCCCCCAAAAAAAAAACAAAGGCATTTCTGAGAACCAGAAGAAGGTAAACGATACGCCAATGGCTAGCAGTGAGAGCGAAGACGCCGTCCGCCGCAAGTCGGCCATTTCCGACTACCGGAAAAAGCTTCTGAATCACAAAGAATTAGAAGGCCGCGTTCGATCTGGTTTGCAATTCTGAAAACCCTAATTTTCCATTGTTTTATCTTATGTAATCTCAGAACTGTGCTATTTGAGTTTTTTTTTTCTTTCGATCTACGCGTTGCTGTAAATTTTCCGTGGTTCGTTCTACTTACTGCGTTTTGTGCTTGTGTTTGATTGAAGTCATAATTTACTGGATCTAGTTTTACTGCTAGGGTTTTGTTCTGGTAATGGACGGTGAGATAAGAAATTATGAATGTCGGAGGATTTTATTTATATATATATATATTTTTTTATAGAGATGCAAATGTATAGGTTTTAGGGTTTTAGAATTATCTGATAAGGTGTTGGAAGTAGTCTTCATTTCGTTTACTCTAAAAAGGTATGTTGTTGAGTCGTAAGGTATTAAGCTTGATATTTTGAAGTAATTGGGGTTTTCAATTGCGATTTGTAGTTCTTTTTTTGGCTGCAATCTGAGTCTGTGACTCTTACTACTCAGTAAGCCGGTCTTCCGAGCGATTTCTTGGAACTTGTTAGTCTTATGTGAACGTTTTTCTGGAATTGTTTGCTCTGATTTATTTCAACGTAGGAGCATTCTTAGTAATTAGTAACAAATGAAAAGGCGAAAAGACGCTGTATTTAGGCATTATATGTTTCCCCATTCTTTTTCTTTTTTCCTGTCCCTTTTCATAAGGTTTGGGGTGTGGCGGAGCTGTTTCCATGGACATTTTGAATAAATATGCTGCATTCTCTTTGTTTTATAATAGATCAAATCTAAACCGAGATTAATTGGGCAACATTTTTAGCTCTATGATATGTAATGTGACCGACTTCAAGTTTGTTATACTCTATTGTTATGACTAAAGGGCAACGTGTGATTTGTACAGTTCGGGAGAATTTAAGATCTACAAAGAAGGAGTATGCTAAAACAGAAGATGATTTAAAGTCCCTCCAGAGTGTTGGACAGATCATAGGAGAAGTTCTTAGGCCCCTGGACAACGAACGCTGTAAGTAAATGTTATTATAATTTGTGTTTTTATTTTAAGAGCTCATCATTCAATTGTTTCTTTCTGCTTGTCAATGTTATGATGTCAAAAGATAAGCGCTTATGAATTTAGAGTCTTGGTTGAAGATATATATATATATATATATATATATATATATATATATATATATATATATGTAGAGAGGCATTCTCTATGTTTTTCTTTGAATAATGAAAATGAAATTGTTATTACTATTTCAGTGATCGTCAAAGCAAGCAGTGGCCCAAGGTATGTGGTCGGTTGCCGCAGTAAAGTTGACAAAGAAAAACTTACAGCTGGAACGAGGGTGGTTCTTGACATGACAACACTCACCATTATGCGAGCTCTACCTCGTGAGGTACAAACATGTGCTGCTCAGTAATGATTGGATATAGCCCGTCAAACAATAATACTATCCAATATTTACCGACTCATCGGTGTTTGCTGTATGTATGCTGCAGGTAGATCCAGTTGTCTATAATATGCTTCACGAAGATCCTGGAAATGTCAGCTACTCTGCTGTGGGTGGCCTTTCAGATCAAATCCGAGAATTGAGGGAATCTATAGAATTACCTCTAATGAACCCTGAACTCTTTCTTAGAGTTGGCATTAAACCTCCCAAGGTGACACTTTCCGAAGAAAACTTGATGATTTTTTTTTGTTCCTTCACTCCTTAGTTTGTTTTCAACAATGTCAAAATTTCCTGTTGTAGGGTGTACTTCTCTATGGTCCACCTGGAACTGGCAAGACATTGTTGGCCAGAGCTATTGCTAGCAACATCGATGCCAATTTCTTGAAGGTCGGAATATACCATACCTTCTTCATGATATTTGTCATATAATCTGCGTAGGTTCTTAACAAGTTTTATTGTGCAGGTTGTGTCCAGTGCTATTATTGATAAGTATATAGGTGAGAGTGCAAGGTTGATCAGAGAAATGTTTGGTTATGCTCGTGATCACCAAGTATGTATTAGATGTAACAAAATAATTTTTTTTTCTCTATTATAGTTTAATTTGTGAAATAGGATTTACATTGAACTACCTTTTTTTCGTTTGAAGCCATGCATCATATTTATGGATGAGATTGATGCCATTGGTGGGCGCCGTTTTAGCGAGGGAACTAGTGCTGACCGTGAAATTCAAAGAACCCTTATGGAATTACTAAACCAGCTTGATGGGTTTGATCAGCTCGGAAAGGTCTTGTTCTCATTTTTACATGTCGAAATTTATCATTATCACATAAAATTCAGTAAACACGCCTAGAGCATGTACACGACACACTGGATTGACTAGATCTTGCTGTTATTTAAATTGTAACTTGCAGGTTAAAATGATTATGGCAACAAATAGACCCGATGTTCTGGACCCTGCACTTCTTCGTCCTGGTCGATTAGACAGGAAAATAGAAATACCGTTGCCTAACGAACAGTCAAGAATGGAAATTCTCAAGATCCATGCTGCAGGGATAGCCAAACATGGTGAAATTGATTATGAGGCTGTTGTTAAACTTGCTGAAGTAAGCTGAAAAGACTAATTTGACCTTTTCTGCCCAGAAATTTAATTTGTTTGTATTTTTGATTGACATGTTTTGTTGTTCAGGGTTTTAATGGTGCTGATCTTCGTAACATTTGCACGGAAGCTGGTATGTCAGCAATTCGTGCAGAACGTGATTATGTTATCCATGAAGATTTCATGAAGGTAATTTTTTTTCTGTATTTTCAGATATGAAGATTGAAGTTATTATATAGTCCCTGTTTGTCAGAAACATGTATTTGAGAGTACATATATCTCTTTTGTATGTCGTTGGGTGATTAACTCCCAATGGAATTAGTAATCTTTCCTTTTCTTGTTTTTTGTTTTGCTGGAAAATATTACAGGCTGTAAGAAAACTGAATGAAGCTAAGAAGCTTGAATCAAGCGCGCATTACAGTACTGATTTTGGGAAGGAATAGTAAAAGCCAAGTTGGAACGGAGCGCAGATAGCGGTGTATGTGGTGCATTTATCTTCTTAGAAGATCGATTACCTTTCAATCGGACATTTTGTTCTTCAGTTTTCAAGTCTTGCATGTATCTCTGTATTATGTTTTTATTCGCCAGCTGCTAGCAACTATTTTTTTCCGTACTATTTTCTTTTTTAATTTGTTTTATTATTTCGTGTTCAATTTATACATCTGACGACCGAGGAAAAGATCCACCGTTTTCCACACGGATCATCTAAGAGTTTTAATTTATTCATTCCTCTAATTTAGTAAATTTGGTCAAACAAATTACAGCATCTATCATTATCGAACGAGGCCTACAATTTGAAGCATGGTAATGTTATCATGCTGAAAGAAAAGTCCATCACTACTACCGTTTGTCTCGTTTTGTTCGTAGAATCCATCAGTTCAACAATATTAATGACACTATTATATGTAAGAAGTGAGGTCTTGTGTTTTGAGGCTACAAAAGCATTAAACAATCGAATTCAAATCTCACAAAATACAATCTTGGTTTCCAACTTCCTATCAATTTCCTTTCTTTCTGTATAATGAATTGAAAAACTTCGTTTAATATCACCATTTTTTACAGTGTTCCTGCAATAGCTAAACCTATGACTGCATTTTCTTGATGAAGAAGATCGAATCCCTCTATCCCCGGTTCCTTCATGACACTTTTACCGCCCAATACTCCGACATTTACCCGTGTGTGGCCGAGGCTATAAAATACACAGCAAGCCTGCACATTCGCCCCATATAAAAAAATGAATTTAATTAGTTTGTAGCATGTAGGTAGTTAAAAATTAATTGTCGTATATTTTACTACGTTGATGACTGACGATTGCATAAAATCATTTCAACCAGAACGATGAACTCAGACTTTTCATTGCACAAGCGACAGGTGCATTCGCACGTGCAATGTAAAATTTAAATACAAATCATTCCAAACTTATAAAGTTTCGATATGATGATAGAACGATGGGAGAGCAAAAGGTATTAAGTGCATTAACTGTGACATCAATCAAATTTTACTTATTATAAACATAATTGATCCATATTTTAACTTAGTTATAGGGGCATAATATGTATCGCGAAAAAAGTAAGAAATATGAAATATTCTTACTAATCAATTCAATCAGAATAGAAAAGATGGATATAATCAGTTAAATCAGAATGAAATCGAACTTACTTCGAAATCTTTCAAGTAGCTCAGTACATGCTAGATCTTGCCCAGAAAAAAGCCCTTTCTCCGAGCAGATTGACTCTCCCCCAAGGATCTACTAGCTTTCGAGCTAAACGAAAAGTGTCGTTTCAGAAAAGGCTTTCCTAACGAGCTCTTCATGCTTGTGCGCGAGCTAGTCTTCGGACCCTTTTCCTCACCCCTAACACATTTATGGTGATCACACGCAATCTTACTGTGCAAATCACTATCAACCACACGTTTTTTCGATCTTTTTCTAGCCTTTAGATCCATTTCAGCTTTCATTGCCGTTTCGGAAATATATGCAGCATGTTTCTCCCCGTAAGTACAAACCGGGCAAGGTGGGTCGTACTTATTGACTTCAGGAGTTGTATACTCCAAGCATTCAGCATGGTAAACATGTCCACATGTTAGAACAGAAACCACGGCCAGTTCATTAGTGGATATTATCTTTTGGCCCCACAAAGATCTCTCGATCAAGGGCTTCGTACAAACACCACAAGTTTGGAGGTCCATAGAAGAAAATCCCGAGCTTCTTCCACTAGATGTAGTGATTTTTTCCCTACCGAAACTCAAGTTTTCAGTGTCGAATGACCACCTCTCTCTCCTAGTAGGAGTGAGGTCAGAGAAGATAGGGATTGACCAACTGTCTGAAGACCCTCCGTTTGAGCCCTTGCTTGATTCGTTGGGCAGAGACAAAGAAGTCTCTTCATATATTGAGAACGACGGGGGTTTGTACTCTGAGGTACGTGATAGGTGGCGCCTTCTTGAAGGAGTCGAGTTTGGAGGAAGAATAGATGAAACTGAAGGGGCTGATGTAGATAATTTTACAGGGGATGGGTATGAAACATACGAAGATTCTGTAGACTCCTTTACCTGAACAGTGATTAGGGAGAAGACAAAGGATAAAATGTCACTTAGGAAACGTTGAAAAAAAAAACATCGGATTAGAAATGATTGACCGTCAAAAACAAAAAGAAATATCGGATTAGCTTACAGTCTTCACGTAACTCAACCAGATTTTGGGGGATAGTTTGATCTGCAAAAGTAAAAGTATTTTCGAATACAGAAAGGGAGAAAACTTGTATATTTTCCATGTAATGTGTAAATTTTGTTAAAAAATGACGAGAGGCCGTCTTTAATTGGTACAGAGCAGAGACTCCAACTATTCGTTTCGTAATCGCCTCAAATTATAATAATTAGCAAAACAACAGAGTTTTTTCAGAGGTCTTTACGACTACCATTTCCTGATTGATGCATATATAAACACACGTTCTCTGTTTCCGAACGTTACCACATTAACTTGACTAGTCTTTACAGAGCAGAGAGAATGTATTAGTACCATTTCATTTTCGTTTTTTAATTGGGAATCCTTTTCATTGCAGCATGCACCACTTATTGCCTGAATAATGAATACCATGCGGTTGTGGTACCGAAAACATATTTTCAATCTCTCCTTTCCCTTTTTAACATAGTAAATTGCCAAACACGTGCATTCTTTCGTAATACAGTAGATGACAAAGAGTGGAATACAGTACATTTTCCATTTCAACTTGACGAAAATGAGGAAAAGGGATATCGTAAATACATAATCATTTTTGAACAAATTTATTCCAATTACTGCACTTCACATTTAAAGAAAAAAGTAACAGAAAATATTTATCACATAGTAGTTTACCAGAAACTGGAAGCCTTAATAATGTACCGGCATTTCCTTCAGAAACCGGCGATTTTCGCCACGAAAGTGAGCGAGAACTATCCAAAGGACTTCCTTCCTCGGAATTAAATGCAGTTTCGAGAGTAGTACTAGATTTGGCTTCCACTTGATCGTTTCCTCCACTCGACCAATTTGCAGGTATCTCTTCCCCAGCTACTCGTCCGCGATTTTCCCATCTAAAGCTCCAAGACGGTGACCGGACATGCCGATGCAACGTTTCACCACGTGCTCCATTTACTATACTTCTATCCTTTGCAGCCACACAACAAGCCGCCCCCATTTTTTTTTTCTCAAGAGTTGAAAACTCACTGTTAATTGCCTTCAAAACTAATGATCTGTGGAAAAGTCGAACCGTGATTAGTAAGCTATACATTAAGCCTTAAATATTCACTAATTACGGCATTAATCCTTCAACTCTCTGCGTAAGCAGGCAAATATAAAATCATACCAATGTCAGATGTTTTTCTAGTTCTTTGAACATCATAAGATCAGACAACAACATGCAACATGTGGATAAACGAAAATCATCATTTACAAGTCATAACACATCCATTATGCAAAGTTATGATCACGAGAAATTGAAGTGTTCTCAAATACCTAAAGTCTATTAAACAAAAATACAAACCCGGAAACGGAATTCCACAATGAGCTAAATAAGGATCACGACACAATATGATACCATAAGTATCTAAATCTTCAATAAGCGGAATCGTAGTGTTCCCAATTCCCAATTCCCAATTCCAATAGTTCCATAAACCCATGATAAAAATGTAGATTGAATGATTGATCAACAATCGAAATATTAATATACGTAATCTCTTTAAAATCTTATATACACTTCTCCAATCACAAGAGCAGGTACTAAATCCCAGATATATACGAAAACCAAACGAATAATTAACAATTAAACAATTTTGCCTAAATCAATAAACTTAATATATTCATCCCTTTGGGGTGAACAAAGATCCGAAATTTATGCCTAAACAACTGAAAATTACTGTAATATATATTGAAATTATATGCAGAATTCTTCTAATTCGCACAATTTCCATAAAACAATCACCAAAAAAACACACACACACACACGAACGAATCCATATACTTTGCAAAAGCATCACTAATTTGATGAAGCTTCAAATAAAATACCAAAAAATAAAAAAAATAAAAAATTACGTGATCGAATTCGAGCGAAACCTCGATTCGCCATTGTCGAACCCTAGAGAAGAACAGGAAAAAGGCGTGTGCAAGTGTACAGAGAGAGTGATTTATATATATGTATAAAACATTAAAAATATGTATTAGCAGAGAGATTAAAATATAGATACGAATTTGTAATATAGAATATATGTATTGTATATAGATACGTGGAAAGTAGAGAGAGAAAAGGTTCTCGTCTCTTCTTCTTCGTTCATTACATATTTAATTATACGGTTTCCACTTTACAGAAAGGGATGGGGAAGATGACGGTTTATTTAACGGCGTCATTCCTTCCGTTTATAAAGAAATGGAAAAAAAGAAAAATAAAAGATTAAATTGTGAGATTATTGAAATATTCGATTAATTTTTATATAACAAAATTCTTTTGAGATTTTTGGAACTTTCTACTCAATTTAAGGAGTATAAAATATAAATCGATTTATTTCATCGAAATTAATCTTTTTGGATTTTTTTTTTAATTTACTTGGAAAGAGGAAACTAATTCTGAATTATTTCCATAAAATTTGAAAAAAAAAATCAATTTTTTTTTTCAAAAAAATATTTTATTTAATCGCAAAATATATTAAGAATGTTGTTGAATGTAACTTTTGAAGAAGGAAAAAAAAAACAAATTATAATTTTCGGAAATCAAAATTGAATGTGGAATCACATATATGAGATAGTAAACTTGTGTCAATTGATTTGAATTCGAATTTCTTCATTGCCAACATTCGTTATGTCGAGTTTGTCACACATGTTTAATCTAGTGTAATTTATGTTTCTCGTATGATTTGTTAATTATTCTACGAGAATGTAGATTTACTCAGTGCACATATATGGTTGGATGCAGGTTGACTCGTTATATAAAAAAAAAAGGTAAATTACAACCACCCCTTGAGGTATGGTAAAGTTACGAAACTCCTCCTCATGTTTGGTTAATTACAACCATCCCCTCAACTATAAATCTTATTACACGTCCACCCTTGCGGTTTCAAATTTAGTGGAATCTTTGAGATTATATGGAATATTATCACATTTGTACCTATTTTATCTCATTCGAACTTTACATTTTTAAGTAAGATGATCATAATATTTATTTTTTGGCTTGAATATATCAGATTGTAGTGCATCAGAAACAGTATTTTTACACAAAACGAGTACAAATTAGAGCACATTCCACGAAATTTAGATGATTATGTTGAATTTGACACCATAAAGGTGAATGTGCAAGAAAAAATCATAGTGGGAGGAAGTAGATGTAATTATCCAAACAAAAAGGGTTTTTTCGTAAATTGACCAGACCTCAGGGGTCGTTGTAATTTACCCTAAAAAAATTAAAAAAATGAGGTATTTGGAATTCATTTGAAATAAAAAGAAAATGTAAATTAGATCCAAATATTCATCTCATAATTTTATGAGAAACTTATACCAAATTGGTTTCTTATGGTGTACGCGAAGTGCGTCGTACGCGATCCATGCTTTTTTTCACGCCACACGTAAGCATCTGCAATCCCGCCTTAAATAAAATATTATTATTTTTTTTATATATTTTGGCGGGTCGATTTCTGTTGCCACTAATTCGGGCTTCGGCCCGATTTTATAGAGCCCAATTGATGAAGTAAATAACAATAAATGCTATATCTCAAATAATGTGAAAAAATGGAAAAAAGCCCATTTGATTTATGGCATAATATAAAAGGATTTCTTGTACACTCGATTATATATAAATATTCATAAACACCTCTAAATTAAAGGTAATTAATCATGATATATCCTATTTTGCAAATATTTATTTTCACCTCAATTTGGAATTTGTTTGAAACGAGGATTGACCAATTTTGGCGATGGATTGTTTACCCCATAGTCGTTTGTACTCATTTTCAGAAGTCGTCTTTCGTCGTCGCGTAGTCGCACCCATGATTCTAATTCCTGCCCAATTTTACAAAAAAAATATTTTATATACATATAAATAGAGTGAATTGTAATAGAGAAACATGGGATATTTTTTGCTAATAATATGGATATTTATTTTAACAATTAGAGTAAATTATAGGGAGTCGAATGCAATAATTAAACACCATATAACATATAAAGTGAGCTTAAATGAAAAATAATAATTATAATATAATTAAGTTGGTGTTTGCAAATGCGGGTTTATTTCTAAAAATTGATAATGTTTGCAAATTAGCCGAAAAATCAATTTTGAATAGAAAAAAAAAGGGAAATAAATGCTTTTAAAATTATATACGTACAACTTAATTTAAGAGAAGAAAAAATAGAAAACTTGTTATGCAAATATTTAAAATACAAATTATGTGCAGAAAAAAAAAAAAAAAAGCTAAAAATTTATTTCTAAAAACTTTTACAAACACCACCTAACAAAATTTCTGCCTAAATTCTTACCATCATCCTATAAAAATTAAATACATGTAATTTATAATCTCATTCGACATTACGTGCATATTATTGCATACATGCTAAATTTGAGTTTATGACACGTGTAATTAAACATTTAAACATATATCATTATTAATATATTTAATTATATATTAATGCTTTAAATCCCAATCAGAAAACATGAGCAAATATGTAAAATAATTTGACGCGCACCTGAACAGCTGTGGTCCGGTCTTTCTTGGATTCTAATTGGCTGTCATCCGATCTAGGGTTACATGCTCGTCCTGCATGGAATTTTTTTTACCAATTATATTAAATTAATTAAATTATTTCTCAAAAAAAAAATTAAATTAAAATTAATGATGATGAAAACAGTTTAATTTGAGAGCATTACCTTAATTTGAGAACATACACACAGTCTCTCTCTCTAACACACACACAATTACACACGCATTTTTTCTTTAAACTGATCCTATATACAGTTGAAATCAGCCAAATTCTATTAATTTAGTGGAATAATAATTTAAGAATATATATTTTTAACAAGTTGTCCTCATGTTGGGATCAAGAAACAATATTAATTAAACGAAATTATTGATTTATGACTGTATTATTATATATATAACAATTTTCTTTTAACATACTTGAATACACACTAAGAGAGAGAGAGAGAGAGAGAGAGAGAGAGAGAGAGAGAGAGAGAGAGAGAGAGAGAGAGAGAGAGAGAGAGAGAGAGAGAGAGAGAGAGAGAGAGAGAGAGAGAGAGAGAGAGAGAGAGAGATGACAAACCTGCAGAAGAGATGGAAAAGATGGCAGCAGAAAAGACTAGAAAAACAAAAAGACTGATCTTCTTGAGATGAATGAGTTCCATTTTCTTGATTTTTTTTTCTTTTCTCTTTTCTTGAGAGGTGTGTGTGTGTGTATATGTATGTATTTGTCCTGTATATATAAACAGCACAAGAGCAATAAATTCAAATTTACAATAAAGCAAAAACTCAATCAGGCCGGATTGAAAAATATGAAATCTAAAGTTGAGGTATTAATAGCACTTTAATTTATTGTTGTTGGGAGGGCATGCACTAAGTCTTATTAGCTACGAGTAATGCATTAATTATTTTTTTATTTTTACCTAATAGTATATTATTATTATTATTATTATTATTATTATTTATTCACATTTCAAAGTATTGACTATTGACAAAAAAAAATTAAAAAAAGGAAAAAAAAAAAGTAAACTTCTAGTTATGCATATAAAGTATTATATTATATATTTAATACATTTATATAAGTGGCAAATTAGTGCAATATATTTAATAATAATAATATTACTACTATAGCTTTTTATACTAGAAATTATTATTAATAATAGGGACAAATTCTATATAACAAAAATCCTAATTTGAAAATTTTATTTCCAAAAAGTCCTAATTCTCTAAAACGAATTAGGTTGGTTCATTAGTGCATTAGTGCTTTGAAATCTAAATTCACCCAAATGCCCGAAACGATGAAAAAGAAAGAACAAAACGCCACCACTAAAAGGACATTAGTGGATAATAAATATAATTAAAAGGACTAATCCTATTGATTTATGTGTTCCTTCTTTTTTGAGATTTTTTGTTTATTTATTAGTGTTGGAGATAAAAAAATATGTTGATTCATTTCTTATTGAGCCAAGATTTGGTTTAGCATTGAAGTTATGACGCAATAAAACGTCTGTACATTATGCGTTTCCACATTTCGGAAACGTTTCGAAAATCGAAACGTCATGACACTTATCAAGATCATTTCCATAAATATTTAAAAGTTTTGGACACGTTTACGTTAATATAAAAAAATGGAATCGTGTTTCCATCCTTAATAGAGAGATCATAAATTGTTCATCAAGCTAATCGTGGTCAACTCAAAAACTATGTATAAGTTTGATTATATTATCTGATATGCTTAATTGGATCCGTTCAATGGGTCTATAATTTATTTGGGTTTGTCTAGGGTGAGATACCCCATGTTATAAACTTTTATGAGATATGCATTAATCACCATTAATTTTCTAAGATTAAATCTGGACCCTAGGAAAATAACATGGCTTATGTTCTAAAAAATGAAGTACTTTACCAAATTATCCTTCGATTATTTTTTTTATTAAATTAATATAAAATTGATTAACATTGAATTGTCTAATTTAGACCCTACTATATTTTAATTAAATAATTAATTTAAATTCATTGTGACCGAGATTTATTTGATAAATAATCGAAAAAATGCATTCATTAGGAATAGAACTTGTGACCTCTTAATACATTTATCACTCCTAACCATCCAATGACATTAACTTATTATGATATATTTAACAATAATTTTATAAATACTGTTAATTCAAATATTAATTGCAACATTCATTATTATTAAATGATATTAAATAAATTATTAACAAATTTAATAAAATAAAGTTTTAAAAATATAAAGAATTGCAGTTCAATACGCCAAACATCTATCATTAATTATATAATATTAGAAGTATTAATAAACTCCACCATTTAATGTAAAGAATGCTCAATTAAATATAAAGAATGCTCAATTAAATATAAAAAAATGCATAACTTAATTCAAACTCACTTATGTTATTTAATCGATAGTGTGACAAATCCAAATAAAAAATAAAATAATATGTTTGTTTAGAAGAAGAAAAAATTATAACTCATTCCAATTAGTAGTTTTCTTACTTTAAAATAAAATTATATACTACAAATACTATATTGTGAATTTCTTTTAATATTTAATTTAATGGGGTTATTTTACATACCCCCCTAGCCACCAAATAAACTAGGGATAAACCCAAGCCCAAATCATCCTTTGACATACCCACTGGGGACGCGAAAGTACTATACTACCCTTATGTGCAATTTTCGGCCAAACTGCATTCAGCATTTATGGTCCTGCATTTATCATTTTCGCTGATTTATTTATTATTATTATTATTATTTTTTTTTTATAAATCTGTTTGTTAAATATATATATATATATATATATATATATATATATATATATATATATATATATATATATATATATTTTTTTTTTTTTAATTTTTTTTTAAATAAATTTTTTTTTTTTTTTTTTATTTTTTAATTTTTTTTTTTAATTTTCAAAACAATATGTTTACAGTACTGAAAATAACTACATGTAACTACCAATAGTAATTCATAGTTATGTTCGTTTTTTCGCAATATTTTTAGTCGATCAATTGTATACACACACGAATACTGACTTGTACAAAATAAATTCATAAAACCCCAACAAAAATTTACAAATTTAAATATTTTTATTATAAATCACATCAGAACCAATAAAATACAAAACGAAAATACATAAATATACGCATATATAACTACATGTAACTACATGTTACTATAGTAATGTATACAGTCTGTTGAACAGATCTGATGTAACTTAAAAAAACAAAAATTTGACACCTTCAAGGAAAGGATCAATGGCCTTCATTAAGCTGCAATTGCAAAATCAAAACAAAAAGAAATTACTTTAGTGCAAATCAACAAATTTGAATAAAAACATCAAAACACTCAAAAATCACCAAACATTATTAAGAGATCGAGAGATAGAGAGAGAGGTTATTGCTGGGAAATGCAAAAAAATATAGAAATAAATCTGAAAAGATAAAAATAAACGAAATTACCATCAAAATATAGATCCCGACGAGAGGAATCCAACGGGGGATGACCCGTCAAATTTCGACGGGTGGAACACAAAATAAAGCTCCGGCAAGACCACCGTCTTCGAATGAAAAAAAATTGCAGAAACAGATCCGCGCTCGAAACTGAATGAAATCACCACCAAAAGAAAGAGCTCGACGAGAGGAATCCAACGGTAGTTAAACCATCGAATTCCGACCACCGGAGAGAGAGTTATGGCTCCGGGAAGCAATTTCGGGTGAGAGGTTTGTAGAGGCGGGATTTTGAATCTGGGAGAAGAAGAGAGAGACCGTGAGTGGCTAGGGTTAAAACTGATTTTAGAAGGGTATTATAGGTACTTCAGGGTAGCCCAGGGGGGTATGTCAAAATATTTTCGAAATGAGGGGGGTTTCACCTAGAGTGTAATCCACTTGGTAGTTAGTTCTATATAATTTGGAAATGAGGGGGGTCTACAAAATAATCCCTAATTTAATCAACTAGTAAGATTTGAATCGATGAAGTACAAATCCTTTCAATTAGTAAACATTATTCAAATATTTTAATCGGTTGCTTAACTATTGACATAACATGTTACATAATTGATTTAACTATTTATAAGTAATATCTAATATCTTTTTAATTCAATTTTGTCATAAAAAATAGTAAATTTAATTCCTAACACATGTAAGAACCTAATCGTAAATCATAATATTTTATCAAAGCGTAATATTTGAACCAATTAAGCTCAAGTGCTTTCAATTCGTAAAAATTATTCAAATATTTGAATCGATTCATTAGCGCGCTCAACTATTGACAAGAACGTCTTAATCAAATCAACTATTATTAATTAAAGTGTAATACATTTTTAATTCAATTTTATCATAAAACAATAATTCCTAAATTACGCAAGAATCAAATCATAAGATTAATTAAAGCGTATGATTTGAATCAATTAAGCACAAATCCTTTTAATTTGTAAATATTATTCAAAAATTTGAATCGATTAAGTTCAACCACTGACAAGAACGTATTAATCGAGTTAACTATTTATAATTAAAGTCTACTATCCTTTTAATTCAATTTTAACAACAAAATAATAATTTAATTCGTAAAATCGTAAAAATCATATCGTAAATCGTAAGATTTAATCTAACCATGAACCGATTAAATCTTACGATTTTTACGAATTAAATTTTATTATTTTTTATGATAAAATTCAATAAAAAAAAGGTTACTAAACTTTAACTATACACATATTGATTAATACGCTATTGTAAATTATTGAGTTTAACCGATTCAAATATTTGAATATTGTATACGAATTGAAATGAGTTGAGCTTAATCGATCAAATCTTTGAATATTGTTTTTGAATTGAAAACACATGAGTTTAATTGATTCAAATATTACGATTTAATTAAATCTTCCAATTTACGATTCAATTCAAACTTCAAATTCTTTCGAAACTCATTTTTAAATTACACGAGTTGAACAACATTTCCTTAGATTTTTAAATTATATTATATAAAGATTTGTTAGTATGGAATATTTTTAATATATAATAATAATAATTATATGAGAATTAATAATTTATTTAACATTATTTATATAAGTTTTATAACCATTATAAATTGTAGCTTTGTGATATATATCCGTATTGTTAGTTTATTGTCAATTATGTGTTGTGTCTTAATGGTAAGTATTCTTGTGTGTTTTCAGATGGTCACGAGTTCGAATTTAGGTTGATGCAATTTTGGATGGGTGGTTTAATGATTTTTACGAATAATGATATAATTGACATTATAAATTTTAATTCAACAATAAATATATAATTAAAATTGCATTAAAAATATAGAGGGTAAAATTGACATTACATTAATAATATATAATGGCCATTTTTTGAAAATATTAATTATACGAAGGGTATTTACGACAATACGTAAATGAGGAAAAAATGGATTTTTTGGCAGGGACACGTGGCGCAATATAAATGGGGTATCTCATAAAAGTTTAGAACATGGGATCTCACCCTAGAAAGACCCAATTTATTTATCTATTGGGTCACAAATTCAATATTGAACATCACTACTACCGAAGCCCAAGTACCTTCAAATAAAGTTTGGGCCCAACAATCCCAACTAAGGTATAAATAAAAGATTTAATTCATTTATCAAAAGTACGCACTATTATCTGAATAGTACTACGAGTCATATTCTCTCAACTATTTCTACAATCCGCACGTCTGACTTGAGCATTGGAGGGGTTTCCTCCGGATCAACCCCCGACCTAGTTCACGTATTTTCTGTTTGCATGTATCTCAGAGTCATCTAACACGTGAACAGTGATCCACTACACTCTCACCGCTCCCTCTATTTCATATATTTAAGGTGATCTATTTATGGCATCATCATTATCTAAGACTATTTTCAGTTTTGATGAATATTTTTATATTTAATTGGATTGAATTATAAAAGATACCATTGAATTTGTTACTTTATATAAAATGTACTTTCTCGATTTTAATAATAATCAAATCATATCGAAGGGGGCCAATTTGGCAATATTGGGCCAAACTAAATTGAGCCCATCAAGCCAAAGCCCAATGAGCGGCAAGCGTCAAGGTGGTCTAAATTGTTCACCAAAAGAAGGCTCAAACGACGAGAAGGTCGTCGACATACAACTCGACTATAAAGCCCAATATCAACACTCATCGGATTGCATAAAAGGAAAAATAACAGGTTGTAGGTGGCGAGCTCGGGGATAGGCGTTAATTTTTATCCCGGATCCAAATAACTTTTAAATTTATGACTATTTTTTAGTCTTAAAATAAATTGAAATTTTGATTTTAGAGTCTAAATAGTATTTCTCGTTAGATGTTAACGGTCGACTGACGGAGTGGACCAAATGTGCCTTAAAAGTGGAAAGTTTAAGGTATATATTGTCCACCTCAAAACATGAGGATTAAATGTGAAATTATGACAAACAAGAGGGCGGAAAATATAATTATCCCAAAATAAAAATGAAAAAGAACCGTACAGATATTTATTATTTACTGACTCGTCCTCCGAAAACTCGGACATTCCTCATTTGGTCCTCAGCCCCGCTCCCCCTGCCACGTGTACTGGGGCCCACAACCCCCAGTAAAATGCAACCTGTCGCATTGAATCCTTTTTTCTCTCCGAACTAGTTTTTCATTCTCTGCTCTTTATAATCGCCGTCGCTCAGTTATTCGGCGATACATACTCACATTTATCTGTATCTATATATATATATACACACACACACAGTCGGAGTATTTAGTTATTCACCGAACGACCGTTTTCTATCCGTCTCTTTCTCTACCCCACCAGAATTAATTCACTTTGCCGTTAGGAGTTGAATGCATTTATTGCCGTTCGATCAACCTCGTGATTAGTGCCAGTACTTTTTCGAGGTTTTGCTTTCATTCCCATTCCGACTCTTTGTTTTTTTCGATCTGAAGAGAAATTTTAGGGTTTATTTGTTTAATTTATTTATTTTCAGCTGATTAAAGTCGGGTTTTGCAGTGTGCGAGAACTTGCTGATAGCCGATTGATTGATTGATTGTTCGATCATCGAAAGTTTGCGATGTCGGGAGCCTCGGAGAGATTTGCTATGCCTTGTGAGTGATTTTTGCTCGACTGATTGATTTTTGTTGATCTACATTTAGGTTAATTTAGCTGCGATTTTTGTTTATTTTTGGTATTTAGGGTTTTTGTTGAGTACTGAATTGATTAGTGTGTTGAAATTGAGCTTGGCATTTCAGTTTTGAAGCTGTGATTTTTGGTGTTACTTTACTACTTATGGGTTCTGAGCTAGAGCAGTTCTGGATGTTAGAGTTGGGGGAAATTGAAAAAAAAAAAACCCGATTCTGTCTAAATTGGGCTTGTGTTTATTACTCTTATTTGTCCTTATTATCTTGTTCTTTTCGGCTGTCAATGATAGAATTTGATAAGGTTGTATATATTATATATCTTTTAAACTGACCTTATGAAATGGTATGTCATCGAACCGAGAACCTCCCACCACAAGAACGAACACAATGTTGCTAGTTGACAGCTGATTATATTACTTGTTGATGATTAATATTTATGATTTGTAAAAGAATTTATTTTAATATTTCTTAGATTGTTATGTATGTTCCCTATGGGGCAGTATCAGTGGGTATTTCTTGATAACCAGGAGTTGACTGGAATTTCTTCATAGTTGTCAATTTATGATTACTGCTGCAGTGAGAGTTTAACTGTGAAGGTTATCTAAGTGAAACTTTAGGACACATTATTTCAGAAAGATGAGCACTATCCAAACCAGGCTTACTGTATAGTTTTCTAAAACTTCTCTTACATGCATCTTTAATTTTATTATGGTGCACTTAGGTTTTGAAGGGTCATCTGGTAATGATGAGAGAAGAGAAAGGAAGTCTGATTTTGAGAATTCAGAGGATGAAAGAAGGACTAGAATCGGTAGTTTGAAAAAGAAAGCTTTGAATGCATCGACGAAGTTCAAGCATTCCCTGAAGAAGAAGAGCAATAGAAGAAAGAGTGATGGTCGGGTTAGTTCAGTTTCAATTGAAGATATCCGGGATGCCGAGGAACTACAAGCTGTTGAGTCATTCCGACAAGCCTTGATATTGGAGGAGCTGCTACCCGAAAAGTTAGATGATTACCATGTGATGTTGAGGTATATATTCTTGATTATTTTTACTTTTAACTAAGGCTTGTTTTAAATGAAATAATGGAGAGAAAGACTTACAAAAGGGAATCACGTCTCAAAATTACATCCTAGATTCTCCAAGAAACTACTAAAAAACACGGACATTTAGGAAAGCAGTACATAAAATCGGGAAAAAAAAAGTTAGAAAGTGTCTTCTATGAGCTCACGATGGATTATGATATAGTTGGCTTAGGATTTTATCCAAATGCTCTGGAAATACTGAAAAATAATGTGTTTGAGGGATTTGCAAGCTGCTTTAAATTATTAGCAACATTCCATCACTACGTTCATGGGGCAATTTAGTACTAGCACCTTGTCTTCGTCAAGCATTCAGGCTTGGACCTCCATTTGATCCTTTCTTTGATTTTTCGAATCTGAAGATGAATTTCTTATGAACTTTATTTTGTCCTATTTTTTTTCTGCATCTCTTGATCCTCTTATCAATCAAAAGCTGTTGATTTTCTTAAGACTCTTTTGAGATGTGCTGCTTGCAGGTTTCTAAAAGCAAGAAAATTTGACATTGAAAAGGCAAAGCTCATGTGGTCTGATATGGTTCAGTGGAGGAGAGAATTTGGTACTGACACAATTATGGAGGTAAAACAAAATAATTTTCTGCAAGTGACTTAAGAATAATTTGGTTTTCTTGTTTTACTTGTTCTCTTTACATCTTCTGCGTTAATTGCAAAATTTCTTAATTGTTTGTGTTTTCCCATCAGGATTTCGAATTCAAAGAGTTGACTGAAGTTTTGAAGTATTACCCCCAAGGCTATCACGGAGTTGATAAAGAGGGAAGGCCTGTATACATAGAGAGACTAGGGACAGTTGACCCAAACAAACTTATGCAAGTTACAACCATGGACCGTTACATAAAGTACCATGTGAGAGAGTTTGAGAAAGCTTTTGCAATTAAGTTTCCTGCCTGTACTATTGCCGCAAAAAGGCACATTGATTCAAGTACAACGATCTTGGATGTTCATGGTGTGGTATGTCTAATACTTCTTTGCTTCCTGTTTGCTGGCTCTCATGATTTATGACGCAGTTTTTTCTAGTTAAATTGAGCAATTGAACTAATTATTATTGTATACCTGCTTTATTGCTTTGCAGGGTTTGAAAAACTTCACCAAGAGTGCACGTGAACTTATTACACGACTCCAGAAGATTGATGGCGATAATTATCCTGAAGTAATTCCCGCATTCTTAACTTGACCAGTTTATGATGTTTTATATTTTGGTTTGTAATTCATTTCATCTCTTAAATGCAGACTCTCCACCAAATGTTTATAATCAATGCTGGTCCAGGCTTTAGGCTTCTGTGGAATACTATAAAGAATTTTATTGATCCGAAGACAGCTACTAAGATTCATGTATGTTGGTTCTTTGTTTTCATCATTTGGAAGCTTTATGTTAGTTTAGTTACTGGCTCTGACCTTTAGCTCTCTCTTTTCTTCTCGAACGTATCACAGGTTCTGGGAAATAAATACCAGAGCAAGTTGCTTGAAATAATAGATGCCAGGTGAAAGGGGTGAAATTTTCTTCTTCTTGTAACCATCTTTGAAATCCTTTTAAGTGATCTAAACAATTTTTTATGTGATTATCAGTGAACTCCCGGACTTCTTCGGTGGAATGTGTACATGTGCAGATCAAGGGGGTTGCCTTCGCTCTGATAAAGGACCTTGGAAGAACCCAGACATATTGAAGGTCCTAGATTATCTCAATTATATATTTCGTATTGTGTAATAAAATTGTACAAGTATTCTCTTAAATAATTTGTTTCAGTTTTAAGAAAGTTTACTGCTTGGGTTGGCGCAGATGGTCCTTAATGGTGAAGCACGACGTGGCAGGCAGGTTGTTAAAATTATCAACAGTGAGGGGAAAGTAGTGTATGTCAAGCCTCATCGCCCCACGGTATGGATATTGTGTCCTTTTCTCTACAATCTATACATTGTCGGTGCATTTTTCTAAATCAATTTTCATGTTAAGTGAATACAATTTGCATCTGTTGGCTTTTGCAACAGCTAAGAGGAAGTGATACTTCTACGGCAGAGTCTGGTTCTGAAGCTGAGGATATTGCTTCGCCAAAAGCCACTAGAAATTATTCACACCTCCGGCTGACTCCTGTTCGTGAGGAGGTATGGTTAACTGCATTATCAGATAATTTTGTAGTAAAGAAAAGGACTTGGTTGAAAATTAATTTAAATGTCCATTTGGTGGTAAACCCTAGTAAATTTCTAAATTACCCTGCTCGTGTAAAAAATCGTACATATTTCTTGCACTTTAGGGCGGTTCAGGAAATAACTGGAAATGAGGGATATGATTTATTAAGCGGTAAATTTATTTTATCTTTTGTAAACGATGTTTTGAGGATTATTTGATTTATTTGTCAGGCAAAGGCTATGGGGACAGCTGGCTATTTTGGTAACTTTGCAGGATACGATGAGTATGTTCCCATGGTCGACAAGGCAGTTGATTCTGGATGGAAGAAGCAAACAACCCCTGAAAGGCTCAATATTTCTAAAGGTTAATAATGACTTCATTATCATTGCTTGTGGTATTTTGCTAACTGGATCTCACTATCATCACATCACCCGATCTATGCATTATCTAAATCTGTGTGTGCCGGATTTATTCTAACAATTCCAATTTGCTGTGACAAATAGATATGGTTCATGAATCTGAATAGTTTATTCAAGCTCTCCCCATTTCATATTTTTTGTCGTATTTGTTTATCTATACGAATAATTCGTAATTTCTAGATCTTGATTTTCGTCTGAAATTTTTTAATCCAGAGAAGCTTCCATCACCTGATTCTCGCAAGGCGCCAGAATCACTTTATGCTCGAATTTTGGCAGCTCTTATGACCTTTTTCACAGCCCTTTTCTTGTTTTTCCATTCTACTATTGGAAAGAAACTTCAATATGAGTCAACACAGCAAACAATTCTAGAATCGGATTCGGACACAATTCCCATGTCAACAACGGCAGCTGCTATTGACGCAGAACTCCTATCTTCAGTCCTGAAGAGGTTGGGCGAGCTTGAAGAGAAAGTTACCAGTCTTCAAGAAAAGCCATCTGAGATGCCCTATGAGAAAGAGGAACTGCTATATGCTGCTGTTTACCGAGTTGATGCACTAGAAGCAGAGTTAATTGCCACCAAGAAGGTACCCTTCTTCTATCTGTTACGAAATTACGTCTTCTACCGTGAAAATAGTAACAATCAAATGTTTTTGGATGTTAAGGAAAGATAATTTGTAATGGCTAAACAATAGTTGCTATAACAAGTCTCTTGTTCGTCGTACACTCTTGCACTCTGTTGATAATCTTTTTTTCCGCATTGTTCTCAAATTGGCTTCTTTTTTTGAGCAGGCTCTGCACGAGGCTTTGATGAAGCAAGAGGAGCTGCTTGCTTATATAGACGGTCAAGAAGATGCTAAATACCGAGTGAGTGAAAGTTCATTTATTCTTGACCTGAAAAATTATTAATTTTTTCGCGTAATATTTAGTACTGATACGAGGTGCCTTTGTTTGCTTTATCCAGAAGAAGAAATTTTGCTGGTGAGATAATGTGTTCGTTCCATTTGGAGATTTCATCGTTGAATTCATCTTCTGCTGTATGACTGTATCAGATGTCTAAGTTTAACCTACATGGATCTGAGTTGTAATTTGACGACTGGTTTGATGGTACATACTTTAACTAAGGAATTTTATCAAACATATAAAGATACATATTGTGGAGATTCTGTTGATGCGTGGTTTAGTGGGGTCTTTTTAGTTAGGTTTGAAGATATCAATCTACACTTAACGTGGGAAAATGTCGGTATTTGAATCTCATTACGTGCACAACGAACCCATTTAACAACACTTTGGAGGGTTCTTTTTAGTTATGTTTGAAGATATCAATTTACACTTGACGAGTCGTCAAGTATTTAGCCTAATAGTACTGACTTATTGAATGTGGGAAAATGTCGGGTATTCAAATCTCGTTTAGCTACTTATTAAATGTGGGAAAATGTCGGGTATTCAAATCTCGTTACGTGCACAATGAACACGCATTTATGTTTGAATTTACACTTAACTCGTCGTCAAGTGTTTAGCCTAATAGTATTGACTTGTTGAAAGTTGGAAGATGTCGGGGATTCAAATCTCATTACGTACACAACAAGCGCATTTAACAACAATTGTAACCAATAAGACTCGTTACGAAAGCAAGTTCATCAAATCCAAAATACGACTCAATTTGGTATTTTCACCACGTAACAGAGACCAGACAATAAAAAGTCAGATACGAATATAAGAATAGAGCATAAAGTGTAGACAATAACAAGTTAGATACTGGCAAGAAATATAAGAAAAGAGCATAAAGTCCACGAATGATATCCAAAATACATCAATATTGTTAAGTAATACCAATATTTGAATGTGGGAAAATGTCGGGTATTCAAATCTCGTTTAGCCTAACAGTATTGACTTATTAAATGTGGGAAAATGTCGGGTATTCAAATCTCGTTACATGCACAATGATCACGCATTTATGTTTGAATTTACACTTAACTCGTCGTCAAGTGTTTAGCCTAATAGTAATGACTTGTTGAAAGAGGGAAGATGCCGGGGATTCAAATCTCATTACGCGCACAACGAGCGCATTTAACAACAATTGTAACCAATAAGACTCGTTACGAAAGCAGGTTTATCAAATCCAAAATACGACTCAATTTGGTATTTTGACCACGTAACAAGACCAGACAATAAAAAGTCAGATACGAATATAAGAAAAGAGCATAAAGTCTAGACAATAACAAGTTAGATACTGGCAAGGAATATAAGAAAATAGCATAAAGTCGACGAATGATGTCCAAAATACATCAACATTGTTAAGTAATACCAATATTTGAATGTGGGAAAATGTCGGTTATTCAAATCTCGTTTAGCCTAATAGTATTGACTTATTGAATGTGGAAAAATGTCGGGTATTCAAATCTCGTTACGTGCACAGTGAGCACGCATTTATGTTGAATTTACACTTAACTCGTCGTCAAGTGTTTAGCCTAATAATATTGACTTGTTGAAAGTTGGAAGATGTCGGGGATTCAAATCTCATTACGTCCACAACGACCGCATTTAACAACAATTGTAACCAATAAGACTCGTTACGAAAGCAGGTTCATCAAATCCAAAATACGACTCAATTTGGTATTTTCACCACGTAACAAAGACCAGACAATAAAAAGTTAGATACGAATATAAGAAAAGAGCATAAAGTCTAGACAATAACAAGTTAGATACTGGCAATGAATATAATAAAAGAGCATAAAGTCTACGAATGATGTCCAAAATACATCAACATTGTTAAGTAATACCAATATTTGAATGTGGGAAAATGTCGGGTATTCAAATCTCGTGTAGCCTAATAGTATTGACTTATTAAATATGGAAAAATGTCGGGTATTCAAATCTCATTACGTGCACAACGAGCACGCATTCATGTTTGAATTTACACTTAACTCGTCGTCAAGTGTTTAGCCTAATAGTATTGACTTGTAGAAAGTTGGAAGATGTCGGGGATTCAAATCTCATTACGTGCACAACGAGCGCATTTAACAACAATTGTAACCAATAAGACTCGTTACGAAAGCAGGTTCATCAAATCCAAAATACGACTTAATTTGGTATTTTCACCACGTAACAAAGACCAGACAATAAAAAGTCAGATACGAATATAAGAAAATAGCATAAAGTCTAGACAATAACAAGATAGATACTGGCAAGGAATATAAAAAAAGAGCATCAAGTCTACGAATGATGTCCAAAATACATCAACATTGTTAAGTAATACCAATATTTGAATGTGGGAAAATGTCGGGTATTCAAATCTCGTTTAGCCTAATAGTATTGACTTATTAAATGTGGAAAAATGTCGGGTATTCAAATCTCGTTACGTGCACAGTGAGCACGCATTTATGTTGAATTTACACTTAACTCGTCGTCAAGTGTTTAGCCTAATAATATTGACTTGTTGAAAGTTGGAAGATGTCGGGGATTCAAATCTCATTACGTGCACAACGAGCGCATTTAACAACAATTGTAACCAATAAGACTCGTTACGAAAGCAGGTTCATCAAATCCAAAATACGACTTAATTTGGTATTTTCACCACGTAACAAAGACCAGACAATAAAAAGTCAGATACGAATATAAGAAAATAGCATAAAGTCTAGACAATAACAAGATAGATACTGGCAAGGAATATAAAAAAAGAGCATCAAGTCTACGAATGATGTCCAAAATACATCAACATTGTTAAGTAATACCAATATTTGAATGTGGGAAAATGTCGGGTATTCAAATCTCGTTTAGCCTAATAGTATTGACTTATTAAATGTTGGAAAATGTCGGGTATTCAAATCTCGTTACGTGCACAATGAGCACGCATTTATGTTTGAATTTACACTTAACTCGTCGTCAAGTGTTTAGCCTAATAGTATTGACTTGTTGAAAGTGGGAAGATGTCGGGGATTCAAATCTCATTACGTGCTCAACGAGCGCATTTAACAACAATTGTAACCAATAAGACTCGTTACGAAAGCAGGTTTATCAAATCCAAAATACGACTCAATTTGGTATTTTCACCACGTAACAAAGACTAGACAATAAAAAGTCAGATACGAATATAAGAAAATAGCATAAAGTCTAGACAATAACAAGATAGATACTGGCAAGGAATATAAGAAAATAGCATAAAGTCTACGAATGATGTCCAAAATACATCAACATTGTTAAGTAATACCAATATTGAGTAAAAAGCAGTTTACCCCCTAAATTAAAGCCCGTTTTGCACTTTGCCCCCCAAACAAAAAAAATTTGCACGTTTTTACGTGAACTCGTTAATTCGTTGCACGATGCCTCCTAAAAGGAATATTCCGGCAATTTTGACGGAAATATGACTACACGTGTATTGCACATGAGATTTGCAGGGGCAAATTGGTCATTTCCCTTACATTATATATTTTAATATTTAAACAAATAATATAATAATATTAATAAATAAATAAAAAGGAAAAAGAACAAAAATGAGTTGTCATCCACTCATCCCGTAGACCACCATGGCACCACCATTGAAGCAGTCTTGCAGCAGCTGCTGGACTTTCGGGATTCGGGTGGAGCCGCCGACGAGAACCACCTCGTGCACCGTAGATTTATGGATTTTCTTATCCCGTAAGCACTTTTCGACGGGCTCCATACACCTCACGAACATGTCCATACATAGTTCTTCGAATCTCGCTTTAGTAATGGTGGCGTAGAAATCGATCCCTTCGAATAACGAATCGACTTCGACTGTCGTTTGCGTGGTGGAGGAGAGGGTTCTTTTCTCTCTTTCGCAGGCGGTTCTGAGTCTCCTTAGAGCTCTGGCGTTCCCGCTTATGTCCCTTTTGTTCTTTCGCTGGAATTCGGAGACGAAGTGGTTGACCAGGCGGTTGTCAAAGTCTTCGCCGCCGAGGTGAGTGTCGCCGGCGGTGGCTTTCACTTCGAATTATATGCCTTCATGCCTTCTTCTATGGTGAGTAATGAAACGTCGAAAGTGCCGCCGCCTAAATCGAAGACGAGGATGTTCTGCTCGCCGGATCCGGAGCTTTTCTTGTCCAGGCCGTAGGCAATGGCGGCGGCGGTGGGTTCGTTGATGATACGGAGGACGTTGAGGCCGGCGATTCCACCAGCGTCTTTCGTTGCTTGTCGCAGGCGAGATTCCGGTGAGACTTTGAAGCTTGAGGTCATATCCTCGAATGTGACGTCTGATTGTGGTTTTGGTAATTTTGTTTTGTTTTTCCCTTTTTTTTTTTTTTTTTTTTGGTTTTTAAAGATTAATTTATATTTAATATATAGCATGTAAGTGAATGGACGAATATACCCCTGCAAATGTCACGTGCAAGCCACATGTTTTAACTTTTCGGTCAAAATTGCCGGAAAATTGAGTTCAGGTGGCATCGTGCAACGAATTAACGAGTTCAGGTAAAAACGTGCAAATTTTTATAGTAAGGGGGGCAAAGTGCAAAACGGGCTTTAATTTAGGGGGTAACTGCTTTGTACTCTACCAATATTTGAATGTGGGAAAATGTCGGGTATTCAAATGTCGTTTAGCCTGATAGTAGTGACTTATTAAATGTGGGAAAATATCGGGTATTCAAATCTCGTTATGTGCACAATGAACACGCATTTATGTTTGAATTACACTTAACTCGTCGTCATGTGTTTAGCCTAATATTATTGACTTGTTGAAAGTTGGAAGATGTCGGGGATTCCAATCTCATTACATCGCACAACGAGCGCATTCACTACAATTGTAACCTATCAGACTCGTAGGAAGCAGTTCATCAAATCCAAAATACGACTCAATGTGGTATTTTCACCACGTAACAAAGACCAAACTATAAAAAGTCAGATACGAATATAAGAAAAGAGCATAGACTCTAGACAATAACTAGTTAGATACTTACAAGGAATATAAGAAAAGAGCATAGTCTACGAATGATGTCCAAAATACATCAACATTGTTAAGTAATACCCATATTTGAATGTGGGAAAATGTCGGGTATTCAAATCTCGTTTAGCCTAACAGTATTGACTTATTAAATGTGAGAAAATGTCTGGTATTCAAATCTCGTTACATGCACAATGATCACGCATTTATGTTTGAATTTACACTTAACTCGTCGTCAAGTGTTTAGCCTAATAGTATTGACTTGTTGAAAGTGGGAAGATGTCGGGGATTCAAATCTCATTACGTGCACAACGAGCGCATTTAACAACAATTGTAACCAATAAGACTCGTTACGAAAGCAGGTTCATCAAATCCAAAATACGACTCAATTTGGTATTTTCACCACGTAACCAAGA